ACTATATACAGTATTTTTTTGTTTACATGAATACAATCTTTTTATTTGTCCTGATGTGTATAATAATAAATAATAATAATAACAATATATATTTTAGTTTTATTATGCCACCTCCACTGACCGTAAAGGTTCCCAAAAAGGCCTTGAAAAGGCCCGCGGACCACCTGTTGATAATCACAGTTGTAGCTTGTTTTGTGGCTCCGAACACATTTTATTAGTGAGACAAGGAACAGAAATGACTCTTTTGATCGTAAAAGTTGCAGACTCCTGATATAGGCGAACGTATAATTTTTAAAATCAGTGTAATTAAAACTGACTGATGGTAAAACACAAAAGCGGCTACAACTCAGTCAGTTTTACAGATATTAAGCTGAAATTTGAAGTGGTAGTAGCTGAGAGTCATTCACAACACATATCCTGAGCACGACATTCCATGATATTATTATAATTTGGCCAAAACAACTCATTTCTCATCATAAGATGCTCTTRGTCTAAAACTCAGGGATAACAGGATCTGAATCTTTCAATAACAGAGCTTATCACACGTGAGAGAGTAACATGAGAATCAGATCATAAATAGTTTTAGCTTCAAATAAAATCACATCTTCTAATAAAATCAAGACTTGATTCTCATCACACCTTGCAGAAACGTGCAGAGAAGCTGCTAAATTAAAACAAGAGCAAAAGCAATACCAGACTGTCCACAAAACCTCTTTTTCAGCCTGCCGGTGCATCGTGATGCACATTCTGGTTGCCCCTCATGCTTGGGGATGCGCTGCTCGACAAACCACTTCCTCCAGCTCTTCCATGCTGCGCGCTCTCRCCTCCACCGAGACCGACGTGCGTTTTTCTGCACCAGAGGCTTTTCGGCCTTCAGCCATTTCAAGTTTGGACTCAGTAAAAAACTTTTTTTTAGGGTCGGTGTGTTTTTTATTTTAATTTTTTTTGCAGACGCTGTGTTTGAAGTAGTTTGTGAAAGACTGAGCGGCAATCAGAGCGACAGGACGAGGTGGAGTAAAGGGAAAACTTTGGGTTTATTTTGATAAAATGATGAGTTAAACCTGAAACTGGCTGTGGTAATGGCTAAGCTTCTTCATGATATATTTCAAAACCTCAYGAGTTTACAAAACTTCTATAACTCTGCCCTCTGTCAGTAAAATATTAGTTTATAACTCCAGAGTTGTAAAGTAACTAAGTACAAAGACTTTGTTACTGTACTTAAGCAGAAATTTTGGTTATCTGTACTTTGAGTAATTATTTTTCAGTGTACTTTTTACTTACTCATTACATTTTTACACATTTATCTGTACTTTCTACTCACTACATTTTTAAAAAAGGTAAAAAGTAGAAAGTCGTTACTCCTATTTTATTCCAAGTTGCTATTACTAAAAAAATACTATCCTGATAAATTGTGTCTCCTGGATAGAGTGAATTTAATTGTGGTTGGATGAGAAGTATAAATATWTACCATTCTGACACACTATTAGCTTGTACACAACCCATCACAGCTGCACACCGTTAGAAAAAATATTTTTTTGGAGAAGTCACCTCCCAATAAATGTCGTTTTGGAAAATCTAACTGCTCACTTTTACTCAGTACTTTTACTTTTAATACTTAAGTAGATTTTGTGTCAGGAATTTACTTTTGATACTTAAGTACAAAAAATATCAGATACTTTAAGACGTTTACTCAAGTAATATTCTTAGAGAAGACTTCAACTTTTACCAAAGTATTTTTATGATAAAATGCTTGTACTTTTACTCAAGTATCACTTCGACGTACTTTATACAACACTGTATAACTCTATGCATTCCTTCAAGAACTGTTTYAAAAATTTTATGTTTTTGATCAWTCCAGGTAGAARAGTACCTGGCATGTTGCCCTCTGCTTTCCCACACTGGACCCACTTGCCGCCCTGGTACCTCCAGTGGTGCTGGTCAGCCAGAACCACGTCCACATAGACGTTATAGTGGGCCGACGGGTCCAGAACGCTGATGTTAAAGCTCAGGAAGGGGAACATCCTCCTGGAGACATGCAAGAAAACAAAAATAACTTAGTTACATTTGATAAAACTAAAAGGTGTTTAAATGYAAAACCAAAACCGGAATAATTAGAGTTAATTAATCCTAATTTGTGGTTTTAGGATGTATAAAGAGCATCGGCTGCACGTCTACGTAAGCAAACAAATATTCTTTGAGTCAGTTCTGGTTTGGACTGAGCAGAACGTGACTCTTTCACCGTCTGAGGAGCCAGAGGTGGAGGCGAACGGCTGACACTGCTGGTGAATATTTAACGCCGCTGTTAATAAAAGATGCCCCAGAAGATGCTCTTGATTGCCGGGGCTTTACATGTTGAACTCATTTTGACCACCGATGGTTTCAGTGAGCCGAGGTAACCGGGAGGTCAGGGCGTCCCCGGGTTCACTGCCGGGGAAGGAGAGGGAGATCACACTGACTCCAAAACGCCACACAGCTGTGACTCCAAACCCTCTGCACACACACGCACGCACACGTGTTTGCACAGCTATCCTTTTGGGGACATTCCATTGATTCCATTACATTTCTACAGCCTAATCCGGACCACAAACCCTAAGGCTAACCTCACCTGACCCTAAAACTAACATAAACTCACTTCACACCTTGGTCCTAAACCCAACCCACCAATGGCATTTAAACCAAACGGGGACTCGACTTTTGTCCCCAAATGCACCAGTTGTCCCCAAATGTAGGATTTTTGTCTTAAAATTGCCCTCAAATGTCACCAGAAACCCCCCCCCCCCCACACACACACACACAGCGACTCTGGACCAAGAAGCCATAAAATCCGGCTTCCTGACATTTATCATCATTGAGCAACACTATATTTAACCACATGACTCAGTTTGTTTTGATTCATGTATTTATCACTCAGCTGTGACTCTTTTTTCACCCCGAGTATCAAACCTGATCAGAGAAGAATTATCTTCTTCGTGAAACTAAAGCTAGCAGCAAAGGTAACCCTGCTCTATCATAAAAATAACCAAGATAAAGAGTCTCGAAGCTTTTTGAGCTTAAGCACGGCGTTTGAGGTAAATGTCAAATGGTGATAAGTTAAAGAAAATTAGTTTATCAGTTTTATGCTGAACCTCAGATGGTGCAGCGAGAAGATGTAAAAAAAATAAATATATAAAAAAATAAAAACTGGAGGAGATGGATTGATGAATCAGCTTTTCAGTAATGAGCATGTTGCTTCAGACAGTCATAATGAGGAGCAAAGCTCTGGATTTACTGGTCAGTCTTCCAACCCTCACCTGTGCTCATGAGCTTTGGATCATGAGTGACACAATAAGATCTTGATACAAGCTGCTGTTTCTCTTCATTAAAAGGAGGTTCCTGTGATTAGGATGCCTCCCTTTGGAGATTTTCCAGGCTTGTCCCACTGGGAGGAGACCCAGTGGAATTATAGATCCTCTCTGGTCTGGGAGCACCTCCACAGAGCCGGAGACTGTCTCTGGGGTTATGGAGGTCTGGGTTTCTCTCCTGGACCTGTTGTCTCTGTGACTCAATCATGAAAAAGCGGTGGAAGCTGAAGATGGGTTCCTTTTCATCAAATTGGAGGGAAACTACAGATGCTGATCGGTGTGAAGCAGGTCAAACATACAACTTCTTCAGCTTCCATTTGAAATAAAACCCTCGAGTGATTTGTTTTGAGACGTGCATGACTTGTAAGAGCAAAGAGTAGTAAATGAGAACACACACACACACACACACACACACACACACACACACACAC